AGGAAGGAAGGAAGGAAGGAAGGAAGGAAGGAAGGAAGGAAGGAAGGAAGGAAGGTTGGTTGAGAGAATCTGACAAACTGAGAAATGCAATTGAAGTTTTCTTCTGGATTTCCCATATATGAACCTTCCCATGAATGTATATACATCACACACACACACACACACACACACACACACACACACACACACACACACACACACACACCTGTTCCAAGCTGTCTGGTTCTAATATTGGAATAATTTTTTTCTCCCACTTTTGAAATAAACCTCTTGTCTACCCTCAGCTGGAATCCCATTTCTAAGATTTGAAATGTGCTTTGGTGAAAACCTCTGTTCTAAACAGTGTGTGACCCAACAGAACACTACTTCTCCAAGTATATTGACCCAGCTCTACACTTTTCTCTCTTCTTTGAAGTTGGTTTCTTTTTTATATTGATTTTTTAGTCTATCCTTTCTTTTGAGCTAGTCTAGATATACCCCAATTGTCATTTTCCTTCTGACTGAGTTTCTTTAGTACTTCTGCTAACGTGCCTCTGGGAGTAATGAAGTTTTAAATTTTGCAGGTCAAGATTTTTTTTTTACTTTATTTTTTATCTTTCCAAATATTATAATGCATGGAATTTTAAATGTTTTCTTTGCTTGTGTTCTCAAAATGTTGCTGCTCTCTTATTAAGTGAATTGTTTGCCACAAGAATAAACTGACCTTCCTTTCTTTGATGTTTCTGACACCAGGTCCCATTCTCTGAAAGTTTTTACAACCAACCCATCATTGAAGGAATTAATTACTGCCCACATGGTTGTAGCCTGTTCATGTCTTTTTTTTTAATTTTGGTTTTTTGAGACAGGGTTTCTCTGTGTAGCTTTGTGCCTTCCCTGGAACTCGCTTTGGAGACCAGGCTGGCCTTGAACTCACAGAGATCCACCTGCCTCTGCCTCCCGAGTGCTGGGATTAAAGGCGTGCGCCACCACTGCCTGGCTCATGTCTTTTCTTATAGAAGACTGTTCAGCTCCTTGGATCTGTAGAATTCTACATTTTATTGAGATGGATAAAATTTGGGCTGTTTCTGTTCAAACATTCTTCTCTATGAACTTTGCTTCCATTTTGAGTTGCCAATTACAAGTTACTAGTCCTCTGGGCCATTCAATATTTTTCTTCTCACAAAACAGTAATCATTTCTGAATATTACTTCTTAGCCTTTTTTTTTCAAAAAAATTAGTATGATCCATTCAGTTTCACAAACTTTGTAGTAGGTCTAATCTGTCATTTATTCTTGCTATTATCTACAGATATCTAATATGGATATTTAAAACAACTATGTGTTAATATCCATTTTTGAGTACATGGCATGCACCTTATTTACTATTTTTTGATGTCTGTATGTGATAGTTAAAATATGCTTTTGGTCTTGACTGGTTTGAGTTGGTGGATTTTTCTGCACATTATGGATTACATCCCCTAACTCATTTGTCCACATCTTTCTGTTTCTTTTTATTCCTATAGATCTCCATATGAATTGTCTTGCAAGTAGCTAACTGAGGATAAGAAGATGCCTTTAGCTATAGTTTTCAATAGATATTGGTTAATCACAAAGTTGTATTTAGCCTAGCACAAATTACTAAACCCCTTTGTATGAACAAGAGCCTTTCTTTCCACCCCATGCAATGTCTGACAAATTGTTCGGTTTTCTCAGCTTTCAAAAAAAGAACCAGTCGAATAACCCAACATATACAAGAGAATCCTTTAATTGTACATTGAATTTCCTCAAATTCTTATTCATTTGACCTTTAATATTTACCTCCAGAAATACATAGTTTAGCATTCTGCTGAATATGTGACAGAGCTCTTTAATTTTGTCATTGTCTAAAACTATATCTGTGTACCACTTCAATCTACTTAACTTTTTACTGTGGACTGAACTTTTGTATTTACCAAATGAATCCAGCTTCACCTTGGAGATACTCTAAAGCTCAATTGAGGTTTCATACTTGTATGCCTAAAAATCTTCTCAGTGCAGCAAGCTGAAAAAAATGAGGCTTTCCATCTCATTTCTTTCTTACCTTCCACTGATCATTTACCTATGCAAAGGTTTGAGTTTCTTCAGTGAGAATCAGTCCTGTATGGTTTACTCTACCATGGCTAGAAAAATGACATCTTCAAAGTATCATTGAGAATCTAGTTATATAAAGAGAGCTATGATTGGAAAAATGTATTTAGGCAAGATTTAGTATGCATCTTTGTCTAAATATTAAAACTTCAAACACTGATACAGTAGAATGTTGCAAAAATCCCCAGAAGTGTTGTTATAATTCTTTTACATAATGTTGCTAATTTTTTACTTAGTTCTCACTTATCTAGTACTTTTGTAGAGGAAAGTCTTGCTCATTATTAAACCATAAACCAGTTGCAAACACATTAGTGTTACATATTGGGGGTCAGTAAATGGTGAGATGAGTTTATTTAGATAAAAAATATGCATGTATTCTTCATATGGTACAATATGGAAATATGTGTTATATGCACATCATGACAAATATTATGTACATATTCCCATATATCCATTAACTATTATTCTCAATTTATAGACATAATAAGAATATAGCTTTAGTTAAATCTATATTTTTAGCAAAGAGTATAATGTTCCTACTTTGTCTTTTATACTTTTATTGCCTTTCATATTACAAAGGAATTATCTATATGAAATAAATACAAATTTGCGGTGATATTTTATTCGCATGTTAATAAAAAGTTTGCCTGGAGATCAGAGGAAATAACAAGCCATTAAGTAAACACAAATCAGGCAGTGGTAGCACATGCCTTTAATCTATCACTTGGCAGGCAAGATCTCTGTGTGTTCAAGTTCACACTGGGAATAGAGCCATGCATGGTGACACACGCCTTTAATCCCAGGACAAACCATAGAGACCTGGAGATCTGTACAGACAGGCAGTAACAAGGAAGTGAGGTAAATGGGCTAAGAGTCAATGAGAGGGCAGAACAGCAAGGCAATAAAGGCCTAGGTAAACAGGAAGTAGCACACTTCTTGTAGCAGCAGAACTGAAGAGATAAGGTTGATGACTATCACTATTTCCTTGATCTCTAAGGCTTTCACCCCTATATTTTGCTCTGTGTTTTTTGTTTTATAAAACCATTCAGGAATTCATCTACACAAATTGTACCATGAAATCAGTTTTTCTTATTGGTTTTAGTGGAATAAATTAAAGAAAAATGAGTAGTGCATGTTCTAAAACTCTCTCTCTCTCTCTCTCTCTCTCTCTCTCTCTCTCTCTCTCTCTCTCTCTCTCTATAAAATTGCCCATTGTGACTGTTTGACTTAAAATGGACTAGGAGGAAGAGATGTGTCACTTGGGTCCAACTTTAAACTTTTTCTTTTTCTTTC